GCAGTTTACATTATTACGCGTTAACCCTGTGCTACCTACAGTTTGGCCTTCATTATAGTTATTTTGAGTCCACTTCAGGATAGGAGAAATAGGATGCAGGTGGCCCCAGTAACCCAAAACAGAGCTGGAACAGCTTCCAGGGTATGTTTCTGTGACCCTCCACTAATCTGCGTGTTGTGCGACACACACACCTTGGAGATAAGCATTGTTTCACTCATATTGCCATTTCCTTTCTTCTTCACCATCACTGGCCTTGACTTTCATCATTTCCACTTGTATTTGGAATTTGCTTGACTATGCATCCTAATGTTACAACTCGGTAATGACATATTGGATTCTTGTAAATAGAATATTGTGGGTTCTCATCACTCATGAGCGTTATTACTGAAGTAATGTATGGGTGTGCGACAAGGTGAGCTTATGGAAAGCAGGCGAAGTCCTTTTGCTGCATTGCATGTATTGACTGGGAAGGCCTACGCTAGAATCAGAGAATATTCATTGCAGTGGTGCAGAAATTAAACTACAACTGATTTGGACCTTCCATAAAAAGAGATCAGAAGGCTTTACTTGGTTATATTTCTTCAACATGGGCACTCCATCACTCTTGCCGCAGAGTTTTTATGCAATAACATTTTGAGAAGAGAAAAAGGAGGAACGAAAACCAGAGAGAAAGAGTATTCATACTGAACTCAGCACCTCACTGTTTTTAATAACTTGGAGGCAGAACTGGGTTTTCTCATAGCGTTTCCCCTCCTGTCCTTTGGATTTCTAACCGTGTTTTCAAAATCTATGGTCCTTCATTTTAATATAAAACAAAGCTAGCAAGCTCCCAGAAATGTTATTTCTGCAAAGAGCAAGTATTGCCCTTGCAGACTTCCAAGGAAGAAGATCATTTCCTCCTCTTCTTCTCCCCATTTTTTCTTTCTGAAACATCACCACCAACTGTCACATTTAACTGAGTGACGGGAGTGCTCACTCCATCTATAATGTAGCGCTGCTCTTCGTACAGAACTGACAGCCTAGGCAATGTGAGAAAGGAACATTTGGAAATAAAATAAAATAGTCTCTGTAATTCATTAGGGTTCCCTTTGCTTTCTTCCCTTTTTCCTCTTGTAGAAAAGTCAAACCAACACAGCCTGGGAATAGCAGATGGACTGCAGGATGAAAACAAAGGGAACTAACCAAAGAGTCTATTTTGTTTTGCGATATTTTTCGCCTGAGGTCGGACTGTAGGAGCTGATGGCAGTGGTGTGAAACATCTGGAGGGAATAGCATTGAGAAAGGTTGTTCCTGGAACTTAAAAGTAGATAGGCGTCCCTGCAATATGCAAGCCAGTGTTGCTCTTTTGAATTTTGACTTGGGAATAGAGAAGGGGACAGAGTTCCAAAATGGTGCTTGGTCTTGCTTCATGATGCCTCATGAACCATGAATTGCCCCCCAGTGTCCCAATGAACCATGAACCAATTCGTTAGTTTGTCGGGTAATTTTTTTTTTTTTACAGCCCCTGGGGCGATCAAAAAAGAAATACAGTAAATAAATAAAAGAAAGCCCTGGCCCTCACACCCTTCCTATTCTGCATGGCATAGAAAGAAGGGGAAAGAGATCCAAGCATATAAAAAGGGGGAAAGCCCGACTGAAGCCATTGCCTTGCTCCACTGCCTTTGCAAAGGCAGTGGGGCCAGGGGATCGCTTTGATCCCTTCCCTAAGCACAGCGGGGAGCCATTTTAAGCAGCCAGTGGCCATTTTGAAAACCCGACGATCAGCTGTTTTTGATCGTCGTAAAGTGAAAATCGGTTCCCGAAGCAGGGAACCGATCATCACTAAGCGAAATCCCCCCATTTAGACCATGGTTTTGCGATCGCAACTGCGATCACAAAAAGATCATCGTAAAGCGGATTCGTTGTAAAGCGGGGCAATCGTTAAGCAAGGCACCACTGTATAGTAAAAGGTTTATATTTGTTGCTTTGTATTTGTTTGGGGGGATGTCTCTGACCCCAAGAATACAAAGCAACAAATTCCTGATGAATCAGGGGTATTTGTTGAATATCCTGATTTGTTTTTATATTCATCCCCATGTCTACTTGGGAACAAAGAATTAATAAATCAATATTTGGAAGCTGCAGAAATTCCCTTCTGGGGTTGCAAGGTCTTCATTCCTGCAATAGAGGTTAAAAGATTTATTTAACCCTTGTTCTCCCTCCCTCCTCAGCTTCAAACTGGAATCTCTCTCTATCTCTCTCTCTGAAGTACTTCAGTCAAGAATTTTCTTTAAAATTCGGTGGAAGATGTGTGTGTGTCCCTTAGCATGAGCACAATGCTCTCCTGCAAGACTCTCCTGGAGACTCTTGCAAAAGCCTTGGACTTGGCCTCTTGTTCTACTACACCCGTTTTCTTGGTATCCAACACCTTTGCTAGAAAGTAGAAGAAGGAAGCCTTTATACTGCATATTTGTTTCAGAAGGAGATGTGTGGGTGATATCCAGTACAGGAAGAATGGAGGAAGAATCGTTTGTCCATATCTATACTGTATTGAGAATCATAGCTTCACTTGCATAGACTCCATGGCCTACATCCATTTATTCATCCCAACTAAAGTAACCCCATTCAATCAGTGGGGCTTGTGTGAGTGTTGACATGCTGAAGTCCTAGTGGTTCTGTGTGTTCGCTCTAATTGGAATGGACAAGTGGATCTAGCCCCATGTGTTAAGTCAGGTGAATGGAGAAATCTGGAACTGAGGACTACCCATGACTGGTAACCACCCAGCCCCATAGTTGTGATGAAGCTGTAGAATTTGGCTAAATAAGACCTCTTGTATGAGGGTGGCCCTTAACAGCGTCAGTTTCTCAACATTCTGGAGCTTGAATGAACCCAGAAAGCCTCTGTAGAACAACTGAAAGGGATTATTTGCTAACGGGCTAACAGTAGTTGCACAGGGTCCGGAGTTAACGAGCTGGTCACAGAAAAAGGTGTTTCTGGTGTGGCTAGTTACATAGGCAGTGAAACTGGCAAGAAGGATGGCTTCACCCTGACCTTCCTAATTGGTGCTCCTGTGCAGAAATTAAACAAGAATTGTCTGCTTGTGTATGAAACGACTGTGATTCCCACTTAGAATTTACTGCTGTCTGGTGCAGTCAATGGTTTTTTCTGACCAAACATTTTGCTGCCTGAGGCAAAGTTGATACTCACCCATGTTAAGGTGAACAGTTCACAAAAGCAGACTAATTGGCACTGGAGGAAGAAAATGTCAGGAATTGCTCTGCAAAAAAACAAAACAAAACAACTGTGACAAATTAAACATGATTCCCTTTTGCGACACCCCAAGTTCTGTTGGGAGGAAAGCTATGATTGGGAGGAAAGCGGTGACAAACCTAGACAGCATCATAAAAAGCAGAGACATCACCTTGCCAACAAAGGTCCGCATAGTCAAAGCTATGGTTTGTCCAGTAGTGATGTATGGAAGTGAGAACTGGACCATAAAGAAGGCTGACCGCCGAAGAATTGATGCTTTTGAACTGTGATGCTGGAGGAGACTCTTGAGAGTCCCCTGGACTGCTGTCACATTCCCTGCGGTTTCAACAGCAGAGTCCAATAAGCTAGTCCAATGTCAGAAGTTTAGAGAATGCAAAGCCGATATCAAAATGTCAAAGCCAAATCACAAACAGTAATCCGAAGTCACAGTCCAAAGCCAAATCCCAAACCATAATCCAAGGTCAGGGTCCAAAGCCAAATCACACAATATAGTCCACAGTCAGATTCCAAAGCCAAGCGTCCAGAGAACAAGGTTCAACGTAGCCAGGAGCATGGATGCGAGCCAGAGATTTGACTTGTTGCTTCCATAAGCTTCCCAGCAGATTTGATAGCAACAGCAGCCCTTCGGTGTCAGACCCCTCAGCCGTTCCTGCTGCAGTAGTCATCTAAACACTTCATCCTGCTAAAACTCAGGGCTGGCCAACCTGATGTTCCTATGGGAAGCATTCATGTGAGCCTCGGACATTTGTGTCATGAGTCCTTGACAAAGCTTATCCCTCACTCTGGCTACTGGGGGAGGAGAATCTGGTGGTGATTCAGCTGTCTGTGATTCTGATTGCCCAGCATTCTCCTCAGCTGTAATTAACCTCTCAGATTCCAGATCTTTTTCAGCAGAACCGAGCCAGAGATTAAAGAGAACAAACCTATCCATTTTGAAAGAAATCAACCCTGAGTGCTCACTGGAAGGACAGATCCTGAAGCTGAGGCTCCAATACTTTGGCCATCTCATGAGAAGAGAAGACTCCCTGGAAAAGACCCTGATGTTGGGAAAGTGTGAAGGCAAGAGGAGAAGGGGACATCAGAGGATGAAATGGTTGGACAGAATCTGTCTTTCCAGTGAGCACTCAGGCTTGATTTCCTTCAGAATGGATAGATTTACTCTCCTTGCAGTCCAGGGGACTCTCAAGAGCCTCCTCCAGCACCACAATTCAAAATTAACAATATGTAATTGTTAGGTATGGGCTTTCCCAGAGGTGGCGGAGTCCATACATTGCTCATTCCAGTTTATATTCTCTACTGGAGTCAGGAGGACCTTGAGAAATTAGTGCCTTTCTAAAGATATTTTTCCCTAAGGATTTTCAGAGTTGCCCTTTTAAAAATCTTTATAAACTGTTTAAGCTTTTAAAACTGAAGGTTGGGTGCACATTCAGATAAGCCCTGCTCTCTCTTGCGACAAACAGAAACCTGATGAGGTGGAACTTTTGGCTCTCATGGGAGACCTGTCAGAGTGCCATAAGAAAAATGATAAACACTGTTGTATATCAACAGATCAACAAGCAAAGAATGATCTTAGGGACAAATCTGTGGGTGCCAAGGGCATGGAGTTCCAGAAGGCACTGGACCAGCCTGATGAACAGAACTTGGGGAGATATAAAATGAACAGTTTGATCAGTTGCTTATTGCTTATCCAATGCTCTCTGAATGAGGAAAATATGAAGCCTTTTCCTTTTAAAAAATTGTATTTAAACAGAGGTGTTCTGAAATACCAGACTAATCTAAAGGAGCACCCCCCTGGATGTTTTAACCCTAATGCAACTATTCAAGAAAGCAGACGGCTTGCGGTTGGATTCGAAAAGTCCCTTCCTGCAAATGCTTTGGAGCCTTTCCCAGGAGGTTTCGTAGAGACGGCGCCGCTACTGAAAAACCGCTTTGTTTGCTCAGAGGAACCCAAATTCCAAGCTCATTTTCCGGAGGTTTGTACCAGTGTTTGTGTCATATTGCCCTCTGGAGGGGGAAATCCATGTTTCTTCTAAAATGACGTAGAGTGGGGGCCCCTTCTCCACGGGATCAGTATCTGCTGATTCACATATCCGCAGTCTAAAAATATTAAAAGAAAAATCCCATATCTTTCTAACGAGGAAGTTACCAAGACTTGCCACTAGAGGGAGCCAGAGACCATGCTGTGTATAGCGTTGGCTAGAGCAATATATTTTCACAATGTCGTTAGGATAACTGGCCACTAGAACATGCTATGCTATATATAGCGTTTGCTATTATAATAGCATTTGTCATAATTCACGTTTTTCAGCATAGCTGGGGGGAGGACCTGGAACTGATCTCCCACAGATAGAGGGGCCCTTCTGTGTACTGCTCTGCTAATTTAGAACAGTGGTTAGAGACTTAGGGTAGGACTTTCAAAAAGGGATGAGGGGACTTGTATACAATTTGAGGGCAAGGGTAGGTGATACCTTTGTTAGATTTTTTTTTTTAATTGCAGACATAATCTAGCTTTGAACCCTGTACAGATCTTCATCAGGCTGGATGTCGGAGAGTTGTGGATGGTGCAGAAGAAAACATAAACAGTTCCCAGAATTATAGCCACACCTGCGTGCTATTTTTCTTTATTCAAAATAAGTTTCAAAGTGGGTTCTGGAGACTCAGGTCAAAGTTTTAGGCGTCAGATTCCACCTCTAGCAACTTTGCTTGGAATGTCTCTTGAAATCTGATTTGAGAACATTCACCTCTTAAAGCAAGGGGATGCAAGGAAGATTATGTGGACCACACAGCACGGTCTGCCAGCAGCAGGGAATGGCCAGGAAACTCTCCCCACTGCCCACTCTATGCCACCAAGTTTGTGCTGCTGGAAGTGGCTGTCTTAGGTAAAGGTAAAGGTACTTCTTGACAATTAGTCCAGTTGTGTCCTACTCTAGGGCACAGTGCTCATCCCCATCTCCAGGCCATAGAGCCTGTGTTTGTATGTAGACAGTTTCCACAGTCACATGGCCAGCGCGAATATTCACGGAACGCCATTACCTTCCCACCGAGACGCTACCTATTTATTTACTCGCATTTGCCTGCTTTCGAATGGCTAGATTGGCAGAAGCTCGGACAAGCGATGGGAGCTCCCTCCGTTATGCGGATTTGATCTTACAATGGCTGGTCTTCTGACCTTGCAGCACAGAGGCTTCTGTGGTTTAACCCGCAGCACCTTACTGTTTGCCTAATGTTAGAGCTGCCCTGATGGAATGGGAGCTTCAACAGCTGGAGAGCTCAGTGGTTTAAGTCTCTATCTGGCCGTGGTCTGTGGTGTGGTTTAACCCGCAGCACCTTACTGTTTGCCTAATCTTAGAGCTGCCCTGATGGAATGGGAGTTTCTCAACAGCTGGAGAACTCAGTGGTTTAAGTCTCTATCTAGCTGTGGATTTAGAGGTTGGCCGTTTGATTCCTCATGGGGGCCTCCTTGACAGGGGCTGGCCTCGATGATTCGTAGGGTCCCTTCTACCTCTGCAGTTCTAAACCCGCAGCACCTTACTGTTTGCCTAATCTTAGAGCTGCCCTGATGGAATGGGAGTTTCTCAACAGCTGGAGAACTCAGTGGTTTAAGTCTCTATCTAGCTGTGGATTTAGAGGTTGGCCGTTTGATTCCTCATGGGGGCCTCCTTGACAGGGGCTGGCCTCGATGATTCGTAGGGTCCCTTCTACCTCTGCAGTTCTAAGATTATAATCCTTCTAAAGCAAGCCCAAAACCAAACCAAATCAGACAAACAAAAAAGCAATCAATCAAACGAAACAGTCATATATATGTTGTTATGTGCCATCAAGTTACTCTAATACGGCTTTCAAGGTACCGTATTTTTCTGTGCATAAGACTATACTTTTGTCTAAAATTTTTAGACTAAACATTGAGGGTCGTCTTATACACGGAAGTAAGCTGAGGAGAGAACAAAAACAAGTGGAGGAGAAAGCAGGGATCAAAGCGATCCTGCAGCGCTTTGATCCCTTTCCCCCTGCACTTGCTAAGCCCCACTTAGATTTCTTAATTTTGGATACATGGAAAAATGTAAGTGAGATATTTAAGGAGTGGTTTTAACAGTTCCATGGTGCTGAATATAAATTTTAAAGCAATATATATTGGTTTATATATCTCTCTCTCTTAATTGTGCTGAATTTTCTTAGTGGGGCTGGGTTCCAAAAGAGTGGTGTGAACTCATCCACCAGTTCTGTGTCGAGATGCTTTTATCAGTAAGGTTTTTCTTATTCTTCCTTGCCCCTTTCAGACGTGGCTGTGGATCTCTGGCCCGCTATGCCTGTATTGTGCAGAAAGGCTCTATCGCTATATCTGTAATAATAATAAACCAGTCACAATCATCGCAGTGATCAGCCACCCCTGTAAGGTCCTTGAGATACGGATGATAAAGGAAGACTTCAAGGCACGGCCGGGACAGGTGAGTTAACAGTCAAATAGTACTCCAGCTCCTGGTTACCAAGAAAGGCAGAAAACAACCAATGAGGAGGCAAAGAATCTGGCTGAATTGACATTTCTGTACAAACATATCAGTCTTACATCGCTAGAGGCTGTCTGTGACATGGAGCACATGGTGCCTTGGAAATCTGTCTATTTTTCCTAGGACTGCAAAGTATGCTTGTCCCGGCACACATTTTAAAAATATGTACATTTAAAAATGAAGTGCTGTAGGGAAAGATACTGGAGTTTCCCAGCCAAGAATTCGGAGCACCTCACCAAAATACCAATGCCACAATTCAGTGAGATGGAGTCATAGCCGTCGAAAGTACAGTAGGTCCCTCCTATCCACTGGATCAGTATCCACTGATTCATGTATGTGTTGCCCAATCCAAGAGTCTTGAATCGTCTCTTGCCAATTTATAGAGTTAGTGGTGGGGAAGCAGGAATACCTAGAGGCCCCAAATAAGAAGAAAGATAAAGAAGAGCAAACGTTTCCCTGTGTGTGTTTTTTGTTTTGTTTCTCGTTGATCTGTTTCAGTACATTGTTCTACACTGTCCCAGCGTGTCATCGGTGGAAAGCCATCCCTTTACTCTAACACTGGTAAGGAAATCTTTCAATTGTGCAATTTGGGGGATCGTTTATTGGGAAGGGTTTATTGGTAATCATTTATTTTCCTATTTTATATGTGTGTGTACATAGGGGATATTAGTTGTAATCTATGAAATAATATCAACTGTGGGTCCCGATGGCAATTTTTAGAGTATATATTATAATTGTATTTTAATTATTTTATCTTTTTTATTGTAATTTAATAGTTGTAAGCCACCCAGAGACCTTTGGGTAGTGTGGGTGGCATATAAGTTGGATGGATGGATGGATGGATGGATGGATGGATGGATGGATGGATGGATGGATGGATGGATGAATGAATTATTCATTTTTCATGCATATAGTTGAAGTATTTTGTATATGTTATCTCAAGAGTGGATGCTTTTGCTGACCAGATGATTCACATTGCAACTCAACATTAGAGATGGGCACGAACTTCAGTTCAGAAGTTTGTGCCAGTTCATATGCCCGGCATCACAGATGCCATGTGTTCCCTTCCCCCACCTTCACGACTGGATCCCCCCACTCACCGGCCAGCGCACACTCCTCTCCTCCTCTTTGGCTTTTCGTCCAATCCTCAGCAGCTTCCGTGCTGCACCTCCTTGGCTGATTGCCCACTCAGATAAGGAAATGGGACATGCAAACCCATGCTCCTGCCAGGGACTGGTTGAACAGCCAAAGAGGAAGAGGACAGGAGCATGCTCCAACTGGTGAATGAGTCACCGGCTGGGGAGTGGGGGAAGTGAACCTGTGGCGCCGCACGTCCAAACCAGCATAAACCTTCCAATCAAGGTTCTTGCTCATCTCTGCTCAGCATGCTTTCCCATTAGCCATACCAGCTAAGGCTTCTAAGAGTCGAAGTCCAAAACATTGAGGAAACCAAAGATTCTCCACTCCTGTATTATCTCAGGTAATACAACAGCCCTGTGAGGTATTTTGGCATTATCTCTGTATTACAAAGGGATGAAGCTCAGAGAAACTGTGTTTGAACTTGAAAGTTAAACCTCATGGGTTCAGCCATGTTTGCGGTAATGAATTAGGTTGTCTTGCGAGGTGTGAGGGGACAAGCTTGGTAAAGCATGTCTGGAACCTGAAGGTTTTCTGCATGCTGCGAATGGCTCTACTTTACATCAAATTCGGCCAATGCAACTGAGAAGAATTTTGTTGCTCTTTGCAAGAATTTGCTCACGTTCAGATTTCTTCATATTTTGGCTGGGAAATAAAACCAAATAACAATCCAAATTTGGGAGAAGCAAAACTTGATGGATTCCCTCCATCCTTAGGAAAGACTGTAATGTAGACATGAAGAACAAGCCTCATTAAAAGGTTCCAGATCTAGTTACTGGCTTCCCCCAGTTAAAATCAAAGAGGTGATGTGGAAATATATCTAGACCACATTGTTTTAGCAGTTTGATACCACTTTGATTTCCATGACTCCTTCCTATGGAATCACCATTGTCATCTCAGAACTACAGAGCTGGAAGGGGCCCCATGGATCCTCAAGTCCAGCCCCTGTCAAAGAGGCATAGCGGGGAATCGAATTCCCAACCTCTGGCTTTGCAGCCAGATTAGTTATAGTATAGAGTTCTGCAGATTTGTGGTGGGGTTTTTAAAAAAATTACTTTGGCCTGCAACTCCCAGAATTCCTTGGGCAACTGTAGTCCAAAAAAAAAAAAAATTAAAAAAAGACATATAGGGACCTCTTTAGGAATCTAGCTTAATGGATTTCTCTTCTCCAGCTACAGCCAAAGCAATTCTGATCTCTAGTAGAGAATTCCGTGTTCATCGCCAAAGTACAAATTCCAGGACTCTATAGAACAATGTCATTGCAGTTAAAGCACTCTCAGAGGGGAGAGAACAATTATAAAGGGATGTCTGCCTGAGCCTTAGAAGATTTTGGCTAAGTGAAAAAAAATGGATTTCCCTGCTATAAGGCCCCTCCTTCTGCTAAATCATGGCTGATCCCTCATTTTCTGCTAACAGCTGATATTGCTAACTTAATTAGCAGGTCTGGAGTTTCAAAAGACACAGGTCTTCTGAACAGAGCTTGGAAAATTACTTTTAAAATAGTTGCGGTTGTTGTTCAAAAGCTCCAGTTAATTGCTGCTCTAGTTACATCTTTTGAAAATAGCCACTTCTTTCGTCAATTTTGATTTCCAGTGCCTTTGAACCTTTTTGAAACTGTGTCCTCTTTTTGATATATATACAATGTCTCACTTAAAACCTACCAGGTCTTCTGAACAGAGCTTGGAAAATTACTTTTAAAATAGTTGCGGTTGTTGTTCAAAAGCTCCAGTTAATTGCTGCTCTAGTTACATCTTTTGAAAATAGCCACTTCTTTCGTCAATTTTGATTTCCAGTGCCTTTGAACCTTTTTGAAACTGTGTCCTCTTTTTGATATATATACAATGTCTCACTTAAAACCTACCTTTCCCAATGAAACTGTGTCCTCTTTTTGATATATATATAAAACGTCTCACTTAAAACCTGTCTTTCCCAATAGCTTTAATGGTTCCAAATGGATATACTTGGCTTCAGCTGGGTTGGAAAGCAGTTTAGCTCCACTTCAGTGCTCTGTCTTACGTCTTCCTCTGCCTCAAAAATGTTTTCCCCACTAGTCTTTTTTTCCCTCTTTCCTCCCCTCTTCTACTCACCTGGAAATGGAATTTCCTATTTTGAAGTCTAGGGATATCAACCCCCACAGTATATTCATCCAATTCTCATAGTTCAAAGAACGGTATATTCAAGCTGCTTTTGCCCTTCCATCTACAGCTGAAAAACTACCGTAGTTTTTCCGTGTATACGATGATACCTTTTCCTTAAATAGTTAGAGTAAAAATTGAGGGTCGTCTTATACATGGAAGTAAGCGGGAAGGGATCAAAGGGCTGCAGGATCGCAGCCCTTTGATCGTGCAGCCCTTTCATGGCTGCTTTACCCAAAGTAGGAATGAAGTAGACGACCCCCACTTTTCTTATTTGGGGTTGGAAAAGTGGGGGTCGTCTTATACATCGGGTCATCTTACACGTGGAAAAATACAGTATCTTTTCAGGGAGGCATTTAACAATCACAATTGAGTCCCTGAATTAAGTTTTTTAAACTTGTCATAGTTTTCAATGTTTATTTGCTTTTAATTATTTACAGTGGTGCCTCGTATAGCGAGGTTAATCTGTTCTGGATTAACCTTCGCTATAGTGAAACATCGCTGAACGGATCAAAAAAACCCATTGGAACGCATTAAACATCGTCGTGGGGAGCTGGAACAAGCGACGGACGCTCACTCCGCCGCATGGATTCGATCTTACGACTGCTTGGTCTTCTGACCCTGCAGCACAGGCTTCTGCGGTTTAGCCCGCAGTGCCACCACGTCAGGTCATCTTACATGCGGAAAAATACAGTATCTTTTCAGTCAGGCATTTAACAATCACAATTGAGTCCCTGAATTAAGTTTTTTAAACTTGTCATAGTTTTCAATGTTTATTTGCTTTTAATTATTTACAGTGGTGCCTCGTATAGCGAGGTTAATCTGTTCTGGATTAACCTTCGCTATAGTGAAACATCGCTGAACGGATCAAAAAAACCCATTGGAACGCATTAAACATCGTTTAATGCGTTCCAAATGGGCCGAAAACTCACCGTTCAGCGATGCTTCCTATGGCCGGCAGCCATTTTCGTGCCCTCGTTAAGCGAGG